TTCACGTCTAGGCAGGTTCCAGTAACTCCCAGGGGACAGGCACCTCTTGCCTTTCGCTGTCAACTACTAGATAAAAAGAGACTGAGGTCAGAGCGTGCCCTTATCCCAAACACCCAGACATGGCTCAAAGCTGTCCTGCATGGCAGGCTTCCTGAGAGTCGTAAGGCACACCTACCAGTCTCTTCATCTCCACTCCTTTATGATGCTAAGCCCACATCAGAATTAAAGGAAACGCTGTGGACAATTACAAAATACTAAATATAGCTTGGTACATTTAAAAATGAACAATGGTAAAAGCCTTGAAAATTTTTTTCTTTGATGTGAATGGAGTCTTTGGCATTTGGAAATACAATAAGATGAATTAATTGCTACTCATTAGGCGGCAAGTCAGAAGAAGCCTGAATGTGCCTTCTCTCCTCCACATTAGCTGCTGCCTGACCAGAGTAGCCCTCTTTTGTATTTACTCCTGCCTTCTCTAATAATAAGCAAATGAGAGATCATGGCTAGAAAATATTCAAGTGCCCTCCATCCTTTCTCCAGAACCATCATGTAGTTCGGTGATGTTTATCCATTCAAGGGCCATGGCTAATAATTGCAGAGATCATGTTGAATTCAGATAGTGCAAGATTAGAAACCGTGTCTGCAAAATTACTTGTTAGGGAGATGTTTTTTGTTTTGTTTTTCTCTGAAAAAGTGATCTTCAAGCCAATTGCTATCTTTCCAACCTTGCATCATATTTTTATATTGCTGCAGGAAGTATATTTTGGCTGAAAGCATTAATAACTGTCAAGAGTTTTTGAATTCATGGTCTTTGTATTTTTCCTTGTATACTGATAGACATCCCCATGAATAAATTAAACTGGTATCTAACTTCTGGAATGATGGCCTGTGAATAAACTAGATTATGTTGATTTTTGTGTGGTGTTTATTAATGTCCTTAGCGTCTTGTATATGGCAGCTATAATGTGTAGTATTTGCAAGCATGTGACCTTTGTGTCCTTTATAATTTGTCTGTGGTTAATGCCTAACGAGTACGAGATGATTGATTTCACAGAATAATTAAAAGTGAGGGAAGCAGAGGGAAGAAAGGAGGATAGGATCCTTATGATATCCGGAGTCTGATCCTTAAGATATTCTGGCATTCTGCAAGTGCCTCTTCCTGCCTTGTATCTTTATAATGGTACTGTCTCACACGCAGACATTTTCCAGACATCGTGTCCATTTCAGTCATAAAGAGAAGGGTCAGCAGAACGGAGTTGTAGTGGCGTCCTTGCCTTGCTTTATGAAATATGAAAGCCTGTTTACGTAGTAACAATAGCAATTTGAAAGGCTCTGGGTTGAGGAGTTTATGCCTGACACAGCCTGCTGGACCACAAGGCCAGGGCAGGGAGGCTATTGATGGTATGGCGTGCCAGAAATTGGATTGCGAGGAAAACAGAGTGGGTAATAAGATGTGCACCTCAAGTCAGAGCGCTTTGTCTGCCCACATTTGTTCTTAGCACCCATCCTACCTCCCCATCCACAGTCTCAGGGCTCGATTCCTCCTCCATAATTGTTTTCCTTATTGCAAGTAAGGGCTCAAGTTAGGGTTCAGCTACCAGAGAGAGACTTGCCATCTCTCTCTACCACCCCAGCCCCCATCCCCAAACATTCAGCTTTTGTTGCTTCCTTCTAATCTTAGAGATACAGGGGCTTACATGTTTGTTCTGCTGCTCATTGTGTTTGTGTGCCCACTCCCCCTTTTCTCTTCTGTAATAGAAGAGTTGTAGAGCACAACTCAATATTGACTAAATAACAGTTTTCCAAGATAAAACAACACGCTCATCCTTTGTAAATTTCATCCAGTCAGAGATGTTGATGTGACTGCATCTTAAATTAATATACAAGGATAGTACAGATTTTTAGATGTGCTTCACTTACTGGCTAGATTGGCGTCCTCTCCTTTAGCATGGGTGTGAGATGGAGGAGAATGTGTAAAAGGCCAGGATATTAGACCTGAGTGACACTGAGAAGCAATTTACTCAGGTCTGGCACTTAGAGTTATAATTTTTCCAAACCCAGGCATGTAACTCTGGGCTGAAAGTGACAATTGAGAGATCTGTCCATTGAAATCTCTTAACTCCACATTCTTCCTAACTCCCATTTCAGGGTAAGTGGGTCTGCAGACAGGCTCTCAGTTCTGATTTCCAGAGAGTCCTGGGGGTGCTTGTTATCTCCCTTTAAGATACTTTAGATTTTAAACAACATCAAAAAAATTAATCATTTTCACGTTCACATACATACATCGCAGGTGAAGGGGCCGTGCTATAAAATTAAGTGAATAGAGTTGTTCCACTGCAAAAGGTGAGAAATCATTGGTGTAGACATTTTAGTCCATTTGCAGAAAATTGCCTATTCTCAGATAGGTAGGTCAAGTGCAGAAAGAGCCACTACTTGAGATAAAATTTTCTTTTTACACTTGGCTTTGTCTTTTATCAGGGCAGGCAGCTAAGAGCTGCCCACACTTTCAATCCTGCTGTCTTCCCCTAGTAATTTTCTGGGCTATATATTAAGATGCGTTTGTTTTATAATGGACCTCACCCTCGTAGCTACAAATACTTTTAAAACCAAAAGGACATTAGAGAATAAGCTGTGCCTCTTCATTTGGCAGATGAAGGAAATTGGAAAGTCACCTGCCCACAGGAACACAGTGCCTGCCTGTCAGACAGGGCAGGTCGGAGCCCGCTCTCTCGCCTCCCCCACAGCTGTACCAGTTGCCATCTCAGATGCAGCACTATAAAGACCTTTATTTTCCCCTTCTCCTTTTTTGAACTCTTGCTTTCATTTAGGTACCTGGTTGAATGCTGGGTAATAAGCGTCTAATATTAAACAGAAGAAAAGGATCACGTTCTGAGGCTGTGTGACATAAAAAATGAGTTCCTTTTCTCTTTTCCTGCATTGACCGATGTCTCTGTTCCAAATGGAATCATCAAAATGTTTGTGAAATTTGGAGGAAACTTTATTATTATGTGTGTATTTATGTATTTATTTTTGGTACTGGAAATCAAACTCAGGACCTCACGCTTGCCAAGCAGGCACTGTGCTGCTGAGCTGTATCTCTAGCCTGAGAAACTGTTCAATAAACCTGGCAGAGTACCACATTCTGGGCAACACTTAATAGAAAATGGATGATGGAAATGTGGGGAGCCTTTTTTCCAGGTGGAGCTGGACTTTGGATTCTCAAGGTCCCCCACCCCTTCAGTGCGCACAGCAGATCCTGTACCTGGGCCGACAGAATCACCTGTCCTCAGTGTGCATTGTCCAGTAGGCACAGGGCTGTGAGTAGCCCCGCCACAGTTTTCTGGAATAGACCCATCCCCATAAGCGCTTTTATTCTTCAGAATTCACAGCATCAGTCCTGCCGGAAGTCTGCAAGGTCCCCTAGCCCAGGCCCCAGAGGCATCATAGGGCCTTTGTGTGCTGAGGAAGGCACCTGTGGTTACACTTATGCCATTACCTCAGTTTCAGAAATCACTTCAGGAAGCTTTATAACATTTCATAACGGGATTAAGTAGCTTCAGGGCTCAAGTCTAATGAGATTGGTCCAAAGAGAAGTCCAGTTGGTATTGATGTCAAGGTATTCTTGACCACGGATATAGCAGGTATCACCAGAGCTGTTTTCTGTCCACAGATGACCCTCTGATGGACTGGGTTAGGTAGGGGTCAACGGAAGCCACAGGACCATCTGCGAGTAGAGTGGCCGGCACTCATATCTGTACTTGTGGGGCTCATTTCCATTTCAGTGCATGTCACACTCCCACTGGTTTAGCATCACATCCTGTCACCTTAAAGATTTCCTGTATATTTTTTCCTAGCATCTTCATTTGAAATGTGTCAGATACTTTTTCATTTTTATTTTTATTTTTTAATATTGCCTGAGGAAGCTGGTGTCAGATTAGGGCATACAGCAGGTTAGAAAATGGAGCTTCACCTGGAAAAGTGTCATACTGTAAGGAGGAGATAACAGGTGGCACTGAGTCACCTGGTTGCATTCCTACCAGGACCTGCAATCCCCATGTCCTTTGCTCCAGCGTGTGCTGTTACAGATGGTCATAGTGGCTGTGGATGCCTGTAGGGAGCTGTACTTGGGCTCATTCATTTTTCAGTTGTGAGCCATAAAACTGTACAGAATAACAATTTATGCAAGCCTTAAATCAACTCTGCTCCTTTTCCTCCTCTTTCCCTTTTTTCCCTCCTTCCTCTTGTGCACGCACCAGTGTGTGTGTGATGGGGGACTGTTTTTCAAGGGTTAAGGTAACTTCTCAAGAAATTCACATGGCGGTCCCGACAAGTTAAGGGCGGAGTGGTGGTGCCCATGCCTTGGAATAGAACCTAGTGAGTCCCAGAAGCCCCAGCGTTGTTTTTCAGGCTGAGGTTGTTTCACATTCCTCTGGCCTTGCCTTTGGCATCTCGGAGTGTTTACTCCTCACCTTTGGTTGGCTCTGTAAACATGGAAGCCTCCTCAACTGGTGTCCAGCATCTGAGCCTGCAGCTGCCTTTCACCGTCCCTTACCAGGAGCTCTGATGGCAGCCATGGTGCTGCATTATTTAGATGTCATCGTTTTGTTCTGGCTTTGGTGGTGTCTGGACCAGGAGCACAGACCCTCTGCCTGCATCCAGGACTCTGCACGCTTGGCCCACACACACAGGTCTGCCTGTACCAACAGGGCCTGCCAGAGGGATCTTCCTGTCACTCCCTCTGTCCTGGGGCAGCATCTGGTGGCCTACGGGAATGGAGGACAGTTTTTTAACTGTGGCTTTTACTGGGTGGCCTTGATAACTGGCTTTCTAAATAGCCAGCGTAGAGCATACATGCCTAAAATGAAGAGGGAAAAAAAGATACACTCCTGTACATTTTATTGTACCCAAGTACTGTGTTTGTATACATTTTAACTGAAGAAGAAAAGTAATCCTGCTTTTGTATACAATCTTTTTTAACAATTGTTTATTATTGTATCCAGGTAACAAGCATGGTAAGTATTTTCATTAAACTGAGTATTCTGTATTTTAGCTGTGCTTGGCAGACTTTTTTGGCTAGCTTTGTGTTACTAGTCTTGGCTTTTCTAGAAAAGACCTATTTAGCAAAAGGAGAAACCACCTACCTGTATTGCCCCCATGTCCTTGGCTTTTGTTAAGAGGCCTTAGAGCCTTAAACCCATGGTGAGGATGTGCTAGAACGCATGCGCCCTGCCAGCATGCTGCTTGGCCCGTCCCCCACTGCCCGCTGCTTCTGAGCTGCCCCTGCTAGGTGCCTGCCGGGGCTTTTGGCCTCTTGTGACCCCAGCAGCTCCAGGGACTGTGGCCTCCTGAAGCTAGAGTACACACAGGTAGAGCTCCCTGCACACTGTCCCCAGTCCACACCCACATCTCTCCCCTGCTGTAAGCATGGCCTCACCCAGCCATTCCCTTAGTGTGTTAAGCAATTGGAAAGACTTTTTGGAAGCTGGAAAGTAAATTCATTGTCGACATTCTCAGAGGCTTCCCCATTCTGTTGGAAAATGAAATAAGATAAAAAGCAAAAAAACCTTGCCACTGGGTGTTCTTAGCAAATGTGCAGTGTTACGGTAGGTTGAGTGTGTTTTAGCCTTCTGGCCGTGTTATCCATGCATGTTTGCTTTTCCGGCCTCTTTCGTGGTTCTGTATTTTAGTCCATGTGCTCGTGGCTCATTGGCTGTGGCTGTTTAACCTGCCTGGTAGCCATGCGTTCTCTATTAAGTCAGTGTGTCACTGTCACCTTCAAGGATCAGACTGCGAAGGATAAGGCCCTCCAGCACATGGCCGCCATGTCGTCAGCCCAGATCGTCTCTGCCACTGCCATTCACAACAAGCTGGGGCTGCCTGGGATCCCACGCCCCACCTTCCCGGGGGCTCCGGGGGTAAGTAGGAAGCAGGCCCAGGACTGCTGATGGCCGAGTGTGGTATAGGCCAGCATTAAACCGTCCACCTGGCACTTCCTGTTAGATGGGTCAGGTTTATGAAAGAAAGGAAGGGAGCAAGAGAGAGGAAATCTTAGTCCCTGAAGACAGGGAATAAAGTATCATTTTTCTGGTTCCCTTTTGGATTGTAACCTACTTCTTCTGTTCTCTCAAGCCCCCCATGCTCCCACCCCATCCCTTGTCTCTGTCCCTGCATCCTCAGGTCACTTTATGGCTCTTAGCCTTGTAAAGACACAGAGCATGTAGTAATACTTTTATTTTACCATATACCAAGGGCTAAGAAGCATTATGCTATAATATTTACAGCCCTCACAGCCATCTTAAATGCCTTTTACTGTCATTGCCATTTTACAGATGCGAGAACTGAGTTTGCTTGGGAGCAAAACAAGAGCTGGTGCGGCTTAACTCGGGGCAGGCAGGCCGGCCGTAGTGATGTTAGGGTTAGCTCTAGGTCTGTGTGGCTTTGAAAGCTGCGCTTCCCCGTTTATTTCAGGCAGCCTCTCTGGTGGGAGCAGCACACACTAAAGGCTTCAGGGATACTCACAGCAAAACGGGGGCCTATATTGCTTCTTGAGCCCCTCGCCATCTCGTTTTGTGCTGTGTCCACCATTCCCTGGGCCTTGGGTGTTCCACCCCCACCCCACCCCGAGGATTTTCAGGGCAGAGGGGATAAGGGGAGCCCTGCGTTGCTAGGCCAAGGGTAGGTTGTAATCTTACGCACTGCGTGGTGATCAGATCTGTGATCAAGAAGATGCTGCTGCAGCTGGTAGGAAATGGGAAACTGCTGTCCTTCAGCAGGGCTTGCAGTGTGTACGCAACCTGAACTGTGCTTAAGATATTGTTGCTTTTGTCTTCCAGTTCTGGCCTGGAATGATACAAACAGGACAACCAGGATCCTCACAAGAGTAAGTCTGAGGCTGGTGACAGCCTACCCTGGGGGAAAGTCCTCCCTGTACCAAACTGTGTCAGGACTTAGAGGGAAAAGGGGGGTTAAACGGATTCCTGCAGCAGCCTGTCCCACAATCTCCTGAGGTTAGTAGCAGGAAAGAGACCAACCTCAGATCCAGCAGAGGTGTGAGTGCCTCACTTGCCCATTAGCTTGATGGTCATTCTGCTGGGAACAGGAAGTGGGTTCCTGTCCCTTTGTGGCTTCTGGAGGGCAGAGCTTGGGGTCTTCCTCAGCTGATAAAGGGCAACAGAAGGAATCCTATAGTTCTTTCCATTCTGCCTTTCCCTCTGTTAGGGGGGATAAGAGAAACATCTGCAAATTATTTGAGAGACAGGGAAGCTGGCTCAGGCCACCAGAAGAAAAGAACAATTTGAGAATAAAAGCAGAAAAGATCAATCCCTGGTACAAAAAAAAAAAAAAAAAAGCAGAAAGGAATCCCTGCCTATTAAAAGAATTTGACCTAAGTGTCCCAGAGCAGGAGAGTCTGATGCATGTTGTAGGCCTTGCCTGGACATAGCTACTGACCTCTTGTCTTTGTGGGGATGAAAAAAGGTTCAGAGGCAGATGTCACTGCCATGAACATCAGGCTGCTGGTTGTCCACTTGAAGAGTGTAATGCAGGATCCCTACAGAGAGGCCGGGCAGGCTGGACCGTGTGTGCCCATGATTTATGACTCTTGCCACCTGTTTGCCCCTAGTGTCAAGCCCTTCGTGCAGCAGGCCTACCCCATCCAGCCTGCGGTCACAGCCCCCATTCCAGGTGAGTCTTCTTAGCTTTCTTTCCGGGGGAGGTATGTGGCCCCGCAGCCAACAGCCAGCCCTGTTTTGCTTTCCAGAGCTTGTGCTGCTGTCTTCACCACAGCTGCGTATCTCCTCTCACTTGGGAATACTGGCTTCCATTTCTACCCCTGCTCATCTAAAGGGTGGCAGTGGTCTGGAGCTCAAGAGGGCCACAAGGGGTGTCCTCCACCCTGGGCCCAAGTCCCCTAACTCATTTCCCAAGTGTTCTTTGAAAGAAGAGTTTGTAGAGAAACAGGAAGGCAGATCATTTCCGCCAGGGCAGTGGTCATGCTTAGAGGGGAAGTTGTGGTTCCCTTCTCATTATAAACTGGCTGAATGAGGCAGTCTGTCGTGAGCACAGATGCAGTTGTACTCTCACTTTCCTAGTGTAATTCCCCTTCTCAGGGTCCCTTCTGCAACGAAGAGCATGCACCGAAGCCAAAATAGAAATCAGGAATTGGGTGGACCCATTGTGTCCTCTGTCTCACCCCTACCCATACTGACCCATTCCACACATGCATAGTCACTTAGTTGAGTGCAGTGCAAAAAGTCATTGCTGTCCACTATAGAGGCCCCAAGTGAGAAAAACCTCACAGGTTGCTCTCTGGAGCCTCCTGAGGGAGTATGATACAGTTCTGGGACCAGTCTTAACGAAGAAGGTGGACGAGTACAAGGAGTGCATGGCATGTCTGGTCTCACAGGCATTTGGAAACTTCCACCCGGGTCTTCAGCCATTCATGGCGTGGTTCTTAAATGGGGTCTTTTGTCTGGGATTCAGTGTCCTCTCGCCAGCAGCCTTAACCTTAGCCACAGGTGGCTTCATGAGCTCATGCACTGCAGTTGCCCAGCTGGTTCCTATCTCATCTCACGGAGCCTCCGCCGGATGTCACCACTACCTGGCTGAGTTCCTCCTTAGATGCTGCTGGGGGCTCTTGGCCTTCCCCTTGAGGTCATCCATTTCAAACAACCCTGCACCTGTACTGGTCTGAGGCCTGAGGGCAACAGAGGCCAGATATAAAGGTGACATTGGTTTTTCAGGATTTGAGCCTGCGTCAGCCCCAGCTCCCTCCGTCCCTGCCTGGCAGGGCCGCTCCATTGGCACAACCAAGCTTCGCCTGGTGGAGTTCTCAGCTTTTCTCGAGCAGCAGCGAGACCCAGACTCGGTGAGTGTGCCCAGAGGTGTGTGCTCATCCTGGATTTGCTTCCTGCTTCTTTTCACTTTCTCCCACCCTTGTCTTTCATCCTGGCTCTTCCCTGGTGCCTGGTAGAAGCCCCACATCAAAGCAGCCTGCGGCAGCCAGCACCCTTTTGCCAGGAAGAAGGAAGGGCGTTCCCCCTGGCAGTGAGGAGAACCCCAGGGCTGCTGGGTCAGTGCTGCTCACCTCATACACTGCAGGGAGTATTTAGCCTCGGGAGAGGACCCTCGATCCCACTCTTGGGCTGGCGTGAGCAAGGCTTTCAGTTCCATGCCCAGCACTGCAAGAAGAAAAATCAACAGCCGGTAACATTGATTGAGTCTTGCTCTGCGACTGACACTGTGCTGTGGTATGAGGTCTTTGATCCCATTTTATCTTCCCAGAAAGCCTGTGAGAGTAGATGAGGAAACGGAGAGTTTAAGTAACTTTTCCAAACTCACATACGTTAAGTCTAACAGACTAAAGATTCAGACTGAAGTCTTCAAAACTCTATATAAAACAGTCAGCTATTATTCTGTTCCGCTTTTCCAAATATGTTTTCTCAAAATAGCAAGTTGTTATCTTAAGGTGAAGTAACAAAGTGGTACTTTAACAGCTTAACATAGACTGCAGAGCGTTATAATATCAAATACCAATAACATTGTCATCTGGCCTCTATTTATCATTTTCTTCTTTTCCTTCTCCCCCACCCCATCTTGTATTTATCGTCCCATCCTTGCCCATACATATGTGATCCTCCCTTCCTTCCCATCCCACAAGCCCCGTACCCTTTCCTCACACCCACTCCTTGGCTGTTTGTGTGAGCATTGCATCTGTGTGTGGGTGAGTCCAGGGCGAACACTGGAGGAATCATGAGTTGTCTTCAGGGCCCACCAGCTCCTTTCTGCATTCCTTGCCTCCCCGTTGTGCCACCTCGGGTGATAAGCCGCACAGAGGTCCCAGCTTCGCTGGCTGCGTGTCGACAGCCTTGCTGTCACTCTGCTATCAGGAGAAGGTGTCATGTACATGCTCACAGGCTGTTGAAAATGACTGAGATATGGAGCAAGTGGTGCTGCCCGCTGTGGGGGTTTGTGCTTTGCCTGTGTGGACAGCCTTCGTGGCTGTGCTAGAGCGAGGCCTGCCTGGAGGGACCTGCCCAGCCCTCACTGCAGCCGAGACAGGGCGCCCACATATGGCTCCCTGACCTCCCTGCCTGTGAATTGTGAACTCTGCTACCCTGTGGGAAAGCAGAGCGGTTTCCAAGTCACCGTAGATGAAGAAAGTGATGTAAAGCAGGCCTCTGAGCCTGTCAGGGTGCTAGAGGAAGGTGAAGTTGTTGAGACCGAGGTACACCAGCCTTCTCCAGTAGCTGCCTGCTTTTACAAGAGGGCAGTGCTGGTAGGTGAGGAGCCCTCCATGCTGGAGCATTCCAGCAATCACTCTAAGAGCCTCTGGCTTTGTGTGCTTCCTGTTCTGTTTGTGAAGTATGCAGGCCTCTTTGGTGATGGCTGCAGTCCTGTTTGTGTGGTACCTGCTGTTTACAGAATACTTTGCTGTCAACTACTCCCCCATGCCCTCTTCGTGTGCCATGAGATGGGCTCAGTTTTCCTCATCTTACAGGTGAAGACACTGAGGCCCTGGCATGTGATGAGGTGACTGACTCGATCTTTAGCTAGTACACAGAGAGGAGCCAGGACTCTGAATCTTCCTTCTTTCTGTCTTTCCCTTTTCATTTTCTTTTCCCTTTCCCTTTGCCTCTCTTCTTTGCTGGGGACAGGGCTCACTGCACCCTAGGCTAGCACTCCCCACTGAGCCACACCCAGTCCCAAGTCTTGTGTCTCATTGTACTCTTCTCCCTGCTATTAAACACTGCTTCCCAATTTCCAAGTTCTCTTGGGTTGCTCGTTCTGTCTCTTGTGCAAGCAAGCCTCTGTCTGCCTCTCAATGTGGTCACTTTACAGGGACATGCTTTCAAGATGGTAGAAAACAAAATCCCCCAAATCATTTTCGTTGCTCTGACTTAAAAAGTAGACTGTATAATCGCCAGCTGGAGTAGCTCCCTGACAGTTGCTGTGCTCTCCCGTTGTGGATCTGTCAGGGACCAGAATGCTGCTCTTAGGTTGTTCTTCCATTTTTGCCGGGTTTGACAATTTTTAATCACTGGCAGATTTGTTCCGTCCATTCTCTAAACACTTCAGCACTGTGTGCATTGGTCAGGGGTGGGAGACAAGAGGGACCTGCTGTGCCCTGGCAGAGTGTGACATCTGGAGAGGGGGAAATGAGTAGTTACAGGAGGAGTCACTGGGAGGCGCCTGCCTATTAGGTAGGAGGGATGCGAGCACGGGACTGAGATCAAGGCAGGCTCGCGGGAAGAAGTAACAAACAAAGAAGAAGAACATTCTGCAGCTGATGAACCCAAGTGTACAAAGCAGTAAGTGAAGCTGGTGACTGTTTAGCCAGGCAGCGCTTACCAAATGTCACAGTGGAGTCCAGAGGTCCATGATCCCTGTATGATCAGAATGGCGCTTTTGTATCAGAATGGTCCCACTGATTTGGCTTTTTCAATATTGAAATCAGTGCTGGGCTGTATACTTTAGACCCCAGCACTTGCATTAAAGGGTCCTTAAATGAAAAATCAACACCCTTGGGTCCTTTGAGGAAATGACGATTCTATTTTAGGGGCTCTCATTTGGGAACTGAGGGACATAGTAACCTTTTAAACACTTGTGTGCCAGCCACAGCATCCGAGGTTATGGATTCAGCAGCAAAGGAAGGGAATTCTCTCTCTCACAGAGCTCAGACTTTAGGAGAAGACAAAGCAACCACCACACAAACATGCACCTACATACACATATATATACTGTGGTCCCTGCCCACATGGGTGCCCCAGTCCTTTATGTGAAATGAAGTGGTAACTGTTTAAGAACTGTTCTTATCTTTTTCCATACATAAATCATTTTCTATGAATATGATAGAAAAAGACAGTGTGTATGTAAATTTTTAAAAAAATATATTCAGTAAAAGAGAAAATATTCCCCCTCACCTCAGGTGCACTTTCCGAAGCAGTCTCTGAAGTCTTTCTTGAGTCTCTGTAGTTGCAGAGATGTGGTTGCCTTGATGTTCTACGTAAGTTCAAAATGTCTACAATTTGTGATCATTTTGACTTTGAGGAAGAGCCAGAAATCGCATAGTACCTTATGGACATACCGTAATGTTTTTAGAAATGTGCCTCATTTTTTGTCATAATGACACTTGTATCAGAGGACCACCAGGGAGGAGCATATTGAGGGGGATTAATGGCAGTGTCTCTTTTACTGTAATAAATTTTAAGATTTAAATATTCACCATATATTTTTATCAGACCTCATGCAACTTACAATACCAGATGTTTGTGAATGCTAGTAGTTATTGTACTGTAGCGTTTAGGGAATTAAGACAGAGATAAGTCTGTATATGTGTAGTATAGGGGTAACCAGGGCACAGGTAATTTTGATCCACAGTTGGATTAGAATCACTACCGTATGCCAAGGGCTGCTCAGTGGTGCTTGGAACAACAGCCCTTCACAATTGAAAGTTACTTGCTCCTTAAATTAAAAACGTATAATTGCAGAAAATAGTAATACCGCTAATATATGTATTAGTGTTTCTGACTTGTCTACAGTGTTTAATTATGATCTGTCAGATATTGCCAGCCAGTGCTGATGGTGAAGTTACGTTGCTGTTACCTCAGTCTCAATTTTTGTTGTCGCTTCTAAAGTTTCTATGTTATGAACTTACTTTGCAGTCATATGCCAATGAGCCACGTATGTACAAAAGAATATATGGCAGATTGGAAACAGGATATACATTTGATTTTAGTACTCATGTAAGAATGAGAATCTGAAGGATGATTATTGTGCTGGGGGAAAAATGGGGATTAACAAATTAAAAGGAGGGGAAATTAACAAAATTGTTTAAAGTGTTTGACAGTGTTTCAAGCAGCATCCTCTCAAATCATGTAAGATATTCTTTACTGGATAAACGCCCAGTGGTGTCACAATAGAGGTGTGGTGGTGCTTTTAGACCAAGGTCGTGCTGAAAAATTTGAACACATGGATGGGTTGTGTGTGTATGTGACTTCCTGGACATTAATCTTACAATTATTTTTCTTTCGACAATGGGCAAATTAAAGCCACCTAAGATACTCATTTGGTATATTTTAACACATTTGGTTATACTGTGGTTAAAACTTAACATCAAACCTTAAGCGCACTGATTTAATAAAGAAGCCAGCAGAATAACCAATAATTAAATGGCCTTAAACAAATTAAACTTTGCATTTGAATTCTGTAAACCTTTGCTCCACACAGACAAGTACATACATTCTACCCTGGTTCTCCAGGATGGCGAAGGCTTATTGGAATCATGGAGTGCTATGATATTTTTAGCACAAGAAGAGAATAGGCAGGGCAAACACAAACAAATGAAGTGGCCAGGTGCAATGCTATTTTTCTCAGTGATTGCTTTAATCCTTACCATAGGTCTGTGAGGCAGGCAGTTGTATTCTTTTCTATGAAAGAGGCTTAAGGAGGCTTCTGACTTACACTAGTGGCTCTAACCAGCTTTGAACCCCCGGGACCTTTTCCCAAGAGGAGAATAGTCCTGATTGCACACCTGGGTAACAAGGCCGAGTGCGTCCTTTGCCTCTTGCTCAGCCCGGGGCTGCCTCCCAGCAGTACCAACATTTCTGGGAACTCACTGTTAGGCTCACCACACGTGTCACTAAATGCTTCATGTTTTTGTTTTTACCACGATCTGGCTTCATTTATTTGTTTTAGAACTTTGATTAATATATGCTTACAGTCCATAATGATTCCATTCATCATGGGGAGCTGGTACAGGTTCCTAACACATCTTCACTCTGTGTTCATCCTCTTCCCCTTTTCTTCCCTCCCCTAAGACTTCATAATTCTGTCACTTCCAGCAAGAGCTGTACTAGTATTAGTGGA